AGAATCCAGGACTTTGCACAAACGCTTCAGGTAATTTCAAATCATCCTACAAACATCTCATACAAAGCATGTTCATTTACACTTCATAATACCCTTGCAAGACATGACAGTTACAGCAACAACAACAACAACAAAAATCCGCAGCTACGTAAATGAGATGAACGAGAAAGGCTGCAGGAGTGAGGAGAGTAGATACAACTAAAAATTAGGTTTTAATATACAAAGTCGGAATAGAACCAATTCTAAACTATATTTAAAGAAAGCAAATCAAATGGTTTGACCACTTAAAGAAAATGTCTTGTGACGCCATACTATACACGGTATACACCAAAAGCGGAGAGGGACATAGAGCACAAGGTAGGTCAAGAACGTGATGGAATGATGACATCAGAGAAACTACAAAGGCACGATGTGTCTGTGGTCGAGGCGAAATGGAGAGCGAGAACCAGAAACTTATCTCTCCCTCGACACCCGAAGCCGTAACAAAGGAAGTGAAGAAGAAGAAAAGCTGACACTTTTCGGGCCATGGCGTTGAGTTGAGTTGGGTCAAGAACTGACATCACAACACTCAGATCACTCCCATGGGTGTTTAATCTTCATCTTCAGCAGTCAGCGCAGACTTCCAATACTGATGGTCACATTTCGGTTACATGTACGTCTTGCCTTTTCTTTGAGTTTAGTGAGCCAGCCAGACCCTCTGATTATACCTAGGTGCCTCATTCTCTCCAGGCCATAATAATCTGTTTCTCTACTAATGCTGTTTGTTGCTTGTTAACAAAAGGCCTTGATGTCGTGAAGTGAACAGCCAACCCTACACTATGGACTAGTCGTGACGCTGACATCCCTATCAGGCACCTCACATTTCAAATTTAAACCCGTCCGGGGAGGTGGGGGGGGGGTATATAGTCCCTCATTTAAATATATACCTCTATCTGGTGAAATAAACATTTCTATACCCTCTAGTTGTTTTGAGAAGTGTACATTTTCAAACTTGCAACTGTGGGATAAATATTTCTTGAATATTATTCAGAAATTCCTGCAGGCCTTTTTACTCCTTGGGCACGAATACAGGACTTCTTTTTTTTAGGGACGCCAAGCGGAATCTGGGGCTGGCATTCTTTTGCCAGACCTCTGAGGTGTCGGGAGACGTATTAATTCTCTAATTAAACTTTGGCGCTTTTAAAATACCAGTTTAATCTTTGAAGGATACCTAAGCTTGGGTAAGTTGAATATAGTTTACGAGTACCATGGTATATGTCTCTTTAAAATTGGCCACTGCTGCAGGGAGGGAAGATTCAGCTGTGTGACTGCACAGAACTGGGCCGTTCTTGATATCCAGACACTCCAGGCCCTAAATAAAATCTTCCCCCTCGCAGGCTAAATAGTTTGTGCCGTACATGACACACACCATTGTAAAGATATTAAACCCAGCAAGTTAATTATTCTCTAACCAGACAACGGAGTTGTGTCGACTAGCAGACATATGTAAACTGGGTCATCCTTCAGTCGGCTAGATGCTGTGACGTCAGAGCTCGGCGCTCTGAGTCAAAGGTTAATTTTAGCAAGACAACATTGGGTGTGTAGTAGGCAGATTGTGGAGATATTAAATATATACATGTACGAACGGAATAGAATGTATGTCTGCGATAGCAGATGGGAAGGTGGAGAGAGGATAATCTATGTGTAGTAGTGTCTATCTATCTCCACTATGTACCTTGTCTTTTATTTGGTTACTGACTTACAGACAGATAAATGAAAGGGTATATGGTCTCCTATTCTTGAGAGTATACTCTGAGTGATTAAGAAGGGTAGCGGGAGATAAGTTGAGCTGGTGTGTGAATCTTAAGATGATTACTAATTCTGAGTTCTTTCCTGACAGGATGATATCTCCTTAGAAGTCAGGCAGTCGAATCACAGTCCAATCAAAAATCACCAACCCATACCATCCCTATCACCAAAAACCTACCCAAAACCCTACCTTTTGTTGCCAGAACTCCAACATGGCAGGAGCTTGTGTGTGAGTTCCAGTGGCTGAGTGACAGTATAGCAGGTCACCTGTGTCATCAATCCAAGGAATCCTTCTTCGGGAGCTTGTGTGAAAGTTCCAGTGGCTGAGAGACAGTATTGCAGGCCACCTGTGTCATCAATCCAAGGAATCCTTCTTCATGAGCTTTGTTGGGCTCCAGTGCAGTTCCTTTGTCCTTATATGTGAGACGATCAGTGTTTTCCAGGTCAACCAGAGGAAAAGCGATCTATTGGATCAGCCGGTTCAAATCACCATGGACTGAGGGAAGCAGTGACCTACCTGACTGGATAAGTACCATCTGAGATGACATACATGCTCTCTTTACATGGCTACCTATGATTCACAGAGATGATTCATATATTCTCAGAATTGTATCTGGCTGTTTCAACATCGTCGCTGTGACGTTAAGTCCTGAACTCCATTCATTGGAAACCATCTTGATTGTCTTGATATATATATATATATATATATATATATATATATATATATATATATATATATATATATATATATATATGTGTGTGTGTGTGTGTGTGTGTGTTGAAAGTATTACGTTCATTTCGAAATTTTCATGGCTTACTTGGGTGTCCCTGTTTCACCATCCTAACTTTCTAGCTTTTATGTTTGTGTGATTAGTGAGTGGAATCTGTTAACATGGCTGGACACCCCCACTTTCATAACCTGGGAGCTATCTTTTTATAGTAGTGGGGGTGTCCAGCCAAGTGTGCCTAGGAATACTCGATATTCTGTAGTGTCAGAGCTTGAGTAGCCCTACTCCTGAAATAAGTTGATCGTATATTGGCCACGGGATCTTCCTTAGACCAATACGAGCCAAAGCCTCAACATTATTATTTCAGAGTGCTGTTGGTTCTTAAGGAGCAATCCTTAAATCAGGCACGCGACACGAGCGGTATGTGACACTTGACCACATCTGCCTTGTCACGTATCAATTCACAACCCAGTGGTGCAGATTCAGCCAGTCTGTCTGCCTGTTCATTACCCACTACGCCGTTATGGCATGGAGAAAACATACAACGGCCGCTTTTGCATTCAGGACTAAACCTTGTACCCATTTTGGGCTTGGTCGACCTGGGAACCTTGGGGCGGGGTCAGACACTACATCACCGCGGCTATCTGCAAAACAGTAAAAGTTTTAAATGTCTGAAAACATTTGTTCAAGAAGAAATTAGCAGATACAGGCAAACTAAATACACAGACTAGGACTAGAATAAAGGTAAACAACACAGAGCAAGGGGAAGCAATGTGAAATATGGAACACCAGCATTAGACACAAGCCTGGTGACCTCAAGACCCATTTACGCAGCACATCACAGCGTACAAGCAGATAATTCCTTATCTCTGTCTTTCTGTCTTTATGTCTGTCTATCTGTCTGTGTCTCTCATACTCTCTTTATATCTCTACTTTTTTCTTTCTCTCTTTATATATGCATATAAATATGCATATATATATATATATAAAAATATATGTGTATATATATTCAAATCCTTTCCTCGAATAATATTTTTTATCTACCTCTTTTTTTCTCGGTCTCTCACTATCTCTCTTCTTCTTCTCTTTGTTTTTTTCTCTCTCTTCTCTGTCTCTGCCTCCCTCTCTCTCTCTCTCCTCCCTAGCCCATTGAGACAAACTGAATATTTAGTAGTTGTCCGATATATTGATAGAACAATCGAAACAACTAATGACTCAGTATTTAGATATCTGCTTTTATGTTTTCTCGAAATCATGTTATTTTGCTTGTTCTAGAAAAAAAGCAGTTACAAAATCAATCGATGTCTTTGCAAAAGTGGGATATACGGAAGAATAGGTCAGTATTTCATGGAAACACAAACCTCAAATGCAGAGGTTCTAGAGAGACACGGAATGAAAAATGAAATTCTGAATGAAAAAAGAGACAACTGAAATATTTTGGCCACATTAAAAGACATAACACTCTCAAAAATAATACTCAAGGCAAAGGTCGAGGATAAAGCAGCAAAACATAGACGCCGATACAAATGGGAAGACAACATCAAGAGGTGGACAAACAGCAGTCCAAGACAAGGGACAACCAAGACAATAGACAACCAACACAAGAGACAACCAAGACAAGATACAACCAAGAAAAGAGACAACCAAGACAAGAGTAAACCAAGACAAGAGACAACCATGACAAGACACAACCATGACAAGAGACAACCATGATAAGAGACAACTATGACAAGAGACAACCATGACAAGAGACAACCAAGACAAGAGACAACCATGACAAGAGACAACCATGACAAGAGACAACCAGGACAAGAGACAACCATGACAAGAGACAACCATGACAAGGGACAACTAAGACAAGAGACAACCATGACAAGAGACAACCATGACCAGAGACAACCATGACAAGAAACAACCATGACAAGAGACAACCGTGACAAGAGACAACCATGACAAGAGGCAACCATGACCAGAGACAACCATGACAAGAGACAACCGTGACAAGAGACAAACAAGACAAGACACAACCATGACAAAGGACAACCATGACAAGAGACAACTATGACAAGAGACAACCATGACAAGAGACAAAAAAGACAAGAGACAAACAAGACAAGAGACAAGCATGACAAGAGACAACCATGACAAGGGACAACCATGACAAGAGACAACTATGACAAGAGACAACCATGACAAGAGACAAACAAGACAAGAGACAAACAAGACAAGAGACAACCATGACAAGAGACAACCATGACAAGAGACAACCAAGACAAGAGACAAGCAAGACAAGAGACAACCATGACAAGAGACAAACAAGACAAGAGACAACCATGACAAGAGACAACCAAGACAGGAGACAACTATGACAAGAGACAACCAGGACAAGAGACAACCATGACAAGAGACAACCAAGACAAGAGACAACCATGACAAGAGACAACCATGACAAGAGACAACCATGACAAGAGACAACCATGGCAAGAGACAACCGTGACAAGGTACAAGCAAGACAAGAGACAACCATGACAAGAGACAACCATGAGAAGAGACAACCATGACAAGAGACAACCAAATCAAAAGACAACCAAGACAAGAGACAACCATGACAAGAGAAAACCATGACAAGAGACAACCATGGCAAGAGACAACCGTGACAAGGGACAACCACGACAAGAGACAACCATGACAAGAGACAACCATGACAAGAGACAACTATGACAAGAGACAACCATGACCAGAGACAACCATGACAAGAGACAACCATGACAAGAGATAACCATGACAAGAGACAACCATGAGAAGAGACAACCATGACAAGAGACAACTAAGACAAGAGACAACCATGACAAGAGGCAACCATGACAAGAGACAACCATGACAAGAGACAACCATGACAAGAGACAACCATGACAAGGGACAAGCAAGACAAGAGACAACCATGACAAGAGACAACCAAAACAAGAGACAACCAAGACAAGAGACAACCATGACAAGAGACAACCATGAGAAGAGACAACCATGACAAGAGACAACCGTGACAAGGTACAAGCAAGACAAGAGACAACCATGTCAAGAGACAACCATGAGAAGAGACAACCATGACAAGAGACAACCAAATCAAAAGACAACCAAGACAAGAGACAACCATGACAAGAGAAAACCATGACAAGAGACAACCATGGCAAGAGACAACCGTGACAAGGGACAACCACGACAAGAGACAACCATGACAAGAGACAACCATGACAAGAGACAACTATGACAAGAGACAACCATGACCAGAGACAACCATGACAAGAGACAACCATGACAAGAGACAACCATGACAAGAGACAACCATGAGAAGAGACAACCATGACAAGAGACAACCAAGACAAGAGACAACCATGACAAGAGACAACCATGGCAAGAAACAACCATGACAAGAGACAACCATGACAAGAAACAACCAAGACAAGAGACAACCATGACAAGAGACAACCAAGACAAGAGACAACCATGACAAGGGACAAGCAAGACAAGAGACAACCATGACAAGGGACAAGCAAGACAAGAGACAACCATGACAAGGGACAAGCAAGACAAGAGACAACCATGACAAGAAACAACCAAGACAAGAGACAACCATGACAAGAAACAACCAAGACAAGAGACAACCATGACAAGAGACAACCATGACAAGGGACAAGCAAGACAAGAGACAACAATGACAAGAGACAACCAAAACAAGAGACAACCAAGACAAGAGACAACCATGACAAGAGACAACCATGACAAGAGACAACCATGACAAGAGACAACCATGACAAGAGACAACTATGACAAGAGTAAAACAAGACAAGAAACAGCGCGTGTTGGAGATCTATTTCAGTCAAACCTCATTTTTGAGACGCAACCTGATTGGTTGATTAATTGAGAATATACAGTCCTTTTTTCCCAACTCCATCGCCGTTCTTTATTTCTAAAAAAAAAAAAAAAACCTTGTTACAGACTTATCGAATCTGAGTAGATCTCACAGTTTTGCTGGTGGGATAGTTTCTCCAGTCTGAGCCGACACCATTTGATGGGGCCGACAAGTCAACTTCACTAGAATGGATCGACCCCACACTGAAAGGTAGTGCCTTATCTAATTCTGTCATTTATGGCGAATAAACTCGAAGTCAGTTATGGAAAAATCAGTGTATGACGTTAACCCGATTTCGAGTCTAGGAAAAAAGTCTAACGAAACAGGCCAATGAAACTCTCGAGGTAATACACGAGACACTGTAACCAACTTTGCACGGGAACAGTCAGTAGAGGTATATTAGGATTGATGTGCTTCAGAAGACAGAGCACGAATGGTAATTCTCGATCGCAGTAACGCTCACTATAATAATATTACACGAAAAGATATCACATTGTCATGGATAAATGCAGATCACTGTCTAAGATAAGGATATGTCCAGAAAAAAACCCAAAAAAACTAGATTACACATTACAGTTCATCATTTATAGTTTTCATCCTCCAATGTCCTTCTCAGGAGCGGACACGTGACTTGGAGATCGAACGCAAGCGCAGTGAGAACCTGTTATTTGAGTTACTTCCCATCACTGTAGCCAAGAAGCTGCTAAACCACGAAGAGGTTCCTCCAGTGTCGTATCCAGCTGTGACAGTATTCTTCTCCGACATTGTGGGCTTCACCTCCATTTGCAGCAAGAGCACGCCTATGCAGGTTAGTTTATTCTAAAGATTAGAATATATTTCTGTGATCTCTTTCATGATATATCTTCGTGGTAACGTAGGGTTAGGAATGGAGCTGTTTAATTTAAAAAAAAAAAAAAAAAAGTAAATGGAGGCTAATGTCCTTGCGATAAAGTCAAGTAACTTTTTTTTCTTCTTTCATGTGTTAAACTACAAACTCACGTTCAGTACATAAACCAGCATTACACCCAGCTGCCAGTTTCTCTATCAAGATTTCTCTCTAAACAAAGGTGTCAATTCTATTGATAAAAACATTCCTCAAACCCTTGACAGAACTCGACGAAAGCAAAACTTCACAAGATGGATATTATTTTATGTCCTACACACGGTAAATAATAAGGAAAATATCATTATGCTTTTACAAGATTACAATGTGTTAAAGACGACTTAGTGCACTGGGTTTAAATCAATATGACTCAATCTTTTCCCGTGAGAGAAAGCTGGTTTTCTGCCTACAGCACCGCACGAAGCAAAAGCTTCCTAGCTCCGGCGGCAACCTGCAGGAATTTAAATCCCACTCAAAACATTTTTTGAAGTTGTCTTTGAGAGGTCAACGATTACTTCTCCTTTGTGATACTCATCGTTCTCACTTGCCCACTCAGTGTGATACACATCGTTCTCACTTGTCCACTCAGTGTGATACACATCGTTCTCACTTGCCCACTCAGTGTGATACACATCGTTCTCACTTGTCCACTCAGTGTGATACACATCATTCTCACTTGTCCACTCAGTGTGATACACATCGTTCTCACTTGCCCACTCAGTGTGATACACATCGTTCTCACTTGTCCACTCAGTGTGATACACATCGTTCTCACTTGCCCACTCAGTGTGATACACATCGTTCTCACTTGCCCACTCAGTGTGATACACATCGTTCTCACTTGTCACACTCAGTGGTGATACACATCGTTCTCACTTGCCCACTCAGTGTGATACACATCGTTCTCTCACTTGCCCACTCAGTGTGATACACATCGTTCTCACTTGCCCACACTCAGTGTGATACACATCGTTCTCACTTGCCCACTCAGTGTGATACACATCGTTCTCGCTTGCCCACTCAGTGTGATACACATCGTTCTCACTTGCCCACTCAGTGTGATACACATCGTTCTCACTTGCCCACTCAGTGTGATACACATCGTTCTCACTTGCCCACTCAGTGTGATACACATCGTTCTCACTTGCCCACTCAGTGTGATACACATCGTTCTCACTTGCCCACTCAGTGTGATACACATCGTTCTCACTTGCCCACTCAGTGTGATACACATCGTTCTCACTTGCCCACTCAGGGCTAGATTAAGGACTGTAAGAAACAAGCGACAGATTAGAGCCTAAGCGCCGAACTGGCGTTTAGGATAGAGACATGCAACCATATATTATTTTTTGATTAATAAATGCCTTTTTTGGAAAACAAAGATTAATTTTTATTTTAAAAACAACATACGTTTCCTGGTGTTATGAGACTTTCTAAGAAAGCATAAAAGCTTTACACAATTTACACAATCCCCAGCTTAGGACCTCCCGGACTGTAAACTGGACTCTGATATAGAGTCAATATTAACACAATCAGGGATTTCAGCTAAAAAGGAATATGCAACTGAGGGAATTAACATCGATTTGTAGAATACACACAGTCGGATCAAAGATCTGAGTGATCAAACACGAAAAGAATACAAAGCACAAGAAAAGCATCATCAATAAACCCCAGTTTGTATCGTAAGTCCCTGTGCTTTGATGGATGTATGACGGAGGACACAGATGACTATTGCTGATGTTCTTAGTGCAATAAGGGCAATCCATAATGAACTAGAGGGAGCTGAATACAAACAAATGATAAATGTCTTCACTGGAAGTGGTAATCGTATAAAAGTATAGAGAAAGAACAGACGAATGTATGAACGGATGAATAAATCAAGAATTGACGTTACTGTACTCTAGGCATTCGTTTACGGGCTCTGTCTCTCTCCTCAGTTGCCTTCGAAGAGATAGTACACTGATAGTGCTATTACAAGTCTGACAATCGTCCAGACCCTCTGCTCCCTCTCATCTGAACCAGTCTCTCCAGATACTGATGCTCTGTTGATTCTGTTGTACTCTCCAGGTGAGGCCTGGCGACCTTCACAAGATCTGGGTTTTATCTTGAAGTAGTTCATCACCCAGTAGAGAGGCAGCAGCAAACTATTATCAGCCTGCTTATTATCATGTGCACCCAAATGTCCTGGGAAAACAATCTACAATATGTTCCTGACCTGAGTTTTAAAAAAAGGGTCTACTGCTAAAAACACACACAACAAACAAATGCTAGGGCTGGCTTGCGACCTCCTCTAGAGCATATGTAACTAGCTTTTTTAGTCATAATATTATTCTTGTAGCAGTCCACAATTTTTTTGTATCGAAGCTTATACATGAACTCTCTGCTAGTAGTACATCTCTCAAACTTTTATGTTTTGTCAACACAACATGCACCTGCTCTGTGGGTACAAATGCTACACTGTAATGTTCTATATTCACTAGGTCATAGACATGCTGAACTCCCTGTACCGAGTCTTTGATGATATTATAGACATGCACCAACTCTACAAGGTAGAAACCATTGGTAGGTACCAGATAATTATATGCTTAGTATACCACTAGTCTCAAACACTAAACTACTTTAAGCCACAAACCAAGAAACTTTAGACAGTATGATTACCAAGAGAAGATGGAATTGGCTTGGCCACGTTATGAGAATGACCTCTGATATACCTGCCAAAACAGCTCTCACATGGATACCTGAGGGAAAGAGAAAACAGGGGCGCCCAAAAACAACATGGAGACGAACGATGGAAAGTGACCTGAGTGCGGCATCTTTGACATGGAAAACTGCACTGAAGATTGCACAGGACAGGAAAGCATTAAAGTCCTCTCTGAAGCCTCGTGTGCCACTAGACATAACGAGAACTGACTGACTGACTATACCACTAGGGTATTTGGCAGAGATCGACAAGCAGGACGCTGGGCACACGATATTTCCATATTCGACTCCCTTTGCTTGAAATTATTTGCAGAACTGTAACGGGCAAGGACAACATAGCCTTACTGGTGGACACTGATCTGGTAGATTTTCTGCAAAGGATCTGTATGTGGTGATAATGAAACAATTAAAAGCATATTCAGTTCTAAAATGGCAAGATCTTAGTCACAGTTCCAACATAATGGAAAGGATTAACCCATAGTTTCTTCGTTCCTACACTCAGCAGCGGGGCTACATACAAGTATATATTACTCGTAAACTATAATGTGCTTGCCATTGATCAAGGACATTCTAGAATGAATCTGTGATTCAAGCAGAGACAGATAGATAAACAGAAAAAGGCAGCAAGCCGTCTGTCCTTTCGGAAAGCAAAGTCAAGATTAAGTTCAAACCAAGCATTTCTCCCGATAGAGGCGGGTGGGGATTCATACGTGTCCAAAGCGGTGGTTAAGCCATTGGAATTTGACTTGACTATGAATGAATCTCCCACCTAAGATTATTCATTCACAAATTTAGCCTTCTTTAGATAATTAGAATATAATTGAGTACTTAACCCGACATGTAGACACATAATTACTTATAGAGGAAAGTCCATGATTCAAATCTGCATTATTTCCATAGAGGTGACAAGATCCAGGTGGGTCTAAGACGAGAGGGGTGTGGGTTGTCTCGCGACACCGTGCCAATGAAACCAGAAAAAAAGTTCCCTGTCCAGTTTGTGAAAAATAAAAGATATACAACAAGCACATGCATTAAATACATACGGCAACCACCAGAGTGTCAACACCAAAAGTGGCCACTAGAATTGTAACTCACCGTGCATGGCAGCAAGTGACCACAAAACTAAAATGCTGCATACATAATGTTGCGTAGACCATACCACCAGTTTAGTATCAAATGGCTAGCCGTAGTGAAAAGCAAATAACACTATACAGCTCTAACGGACAGGCAGCCTAAAAGACATTCTGACCGGAAGTCCTGAATTTGAAAATAACGTGAAAAAAAAAGACACGTGACAATTCTGATGTTAGTTTTTGTTGTTGTTGCTGAAGTTTCCTGGAGAAGGCGCCCTAGAATCATATATGTGTGTGTGTGTGTGCGAATGCGTGCATGCGTGTGTATAAAGATGTATGCATTGTTGCCAAACATGAATGCCACACGTACAAACTTAGAAAACCATTGTTTACTGCAGGTGATGCCTATATGGTTGTCAGCGGTCTGCCCCAACAAAACCTGGAGGGCCACGCCACGGAGATGGCAAACATGGCGCTTGATGTGCGGGAGAGCATCAGTCAGATGACTGTCCCGCATCTCAAAGGTCAAAGTTTACAGATGAGGATTGGACTAAATTCGGGTTAGTGTGTGATAGATCATATACGAAGCTATTCATCTAATGTTGAAAATGTCATGTGTATATCATCATCATGTGCCCTGCCAACTGTCGTAGGCGCTCAAGCGTCTTCCCAGATCACGATCCCTGGTTGCCTGGAACAGCTCTCTTGATGATATCCCTCCATGGAATGTGTATATATGCTGGGATTTCCAGAGCGTTATGTAGCCCACATGGATGAGGAAGATAAATATAAAACAGAATGTTCATTTCTAGCGACTATTTTGATGAAATAAATAATCTTATAAAAAGCGGCGATATCGCTTTAACGTGTAATTGTTGTGGTTTACACATCAATTCTTGTTTTACTCTTTGATAAAAACTTCTCTCTTTTACTAATACAGATTCCTGGTTATATTATGTATTGTGTACAGTCAATCAATCAGGTGCTGTCTCCACAGTCAAGGTTGGCTGCAATGGATCTTCGTCACACTCTGTTTCTTGTCCTGGTTTTACACTCACTCAAACTGCTGCCCGTCCATCTCTTGATATTGTCTTTCCCCCCCCCCCTCCCCTCCACACTACCACTTGTTTCGTGCCTACCTCTTGCACTGTAGCCTTCGTCCTCCTCCCCCCCCCCCCTCCCAGTATGCTTTTTTAAAAGTTTGTTATGTCTTCTAGTGTGGCCGAAGCATTTCAATTGTCTCTTTTCCCCTTTTTTTCAGCTATTCAACAAATTTCATGTGTGGCCTTTCCAGAACCTCTGTATTAGACTGTTTTTGTTTGCATGAAATATGACCTATTTTACTGTATGCCCACATTATAAGACTCAGATTTTCTAGCTGCTTGTTAAGTGTCTACGTTTCCGGACTATATAGTTGGAATGAGTATACATAATATTTGACGATTCTCATTGTGTTCATTCAGTTTTATAAGAAGCGGGTTGAAATTGACTTGATCCTGCACAGAGGACTGCGATTGTAACACGTGTAGGGGTTGTAAGTACAAATATTACATGAAAAAAAAAAATATTAAGTGGAGCACACCTACAGATGACAAGCCTTTAGACTGGTTGGTAACTGGGCTAGGAGGAAATCGACATGCGAACAGACACCGCACTGCTCATCTGATCTCGCAGCCTCTGCAGCATGCTTTGTGTCAAAAGTAACCACGTTACCTTTCCTATTGAGTAAACAAGACAGGCAGAGTGGTCATGCTGCACTGGCAATGTATGGTCTCTGCAACACTGCCCAGGGTTTGTGCTGTGATGAGAACTTCATTCAATGGCCGTGATTTACATATCTTTCTATACAATAAACAACTCAGTCGTCTGCACACACATGTGATGCTAAACAGTACCAACCTGTAACGAGTCAACTGATGTTGTCAGTTGATGAAAAGAAGAGGGGGGAGGGGAAGGGGGCGGGGGGGGGGGGCAGAGGATGAAAGGAAAGAATGGAATCGGAAAGCTAGATAATAACCAGTAAAAAAAAACAATATCAGCAGCATAAAAATATTATTATAAAAGATTGATTCCCAATGATAATATCAGAAAAAAATGGAGATAATAATATCATCAGCAATTTCCATTTCTGCCATTATGTGCCGTGGCGAGCAACAGTATGCGTTCCATTGCTTTATGGGTAGCAAAGGCTGTAGTCATTTTAAGAATGAATCATTTGTCTAAACTCATTTGATATTCGTTAAAAATGACAGATCTAGGCCAGCCTTCTTTTGCCTCGTCCTGCATTGATCTTTCAGCTATCAAGTTATAAAATATGGACGCTATCATTGTGTGCGGTTCTGTGGTTATAGGATAACACAGGTGTTTTACGATCCAATCTTTGACGTATCAGGTTCAATGCCCGAAGTTGATCGTTAGGAAAATACTGTTCTCTGAGGTTTCAGACAGCGGCACGAAAGTCGTGCAGAGGAAGAAAGAGATCAAGGTATCACTACGTAATGTTCCAACAGATAGCAGTGGAATAACTGTTATCAACTTTCATTGTGGGAAAGCTGTGGCTCGAATGGAATAAGTGAACACCTCATTGAAGTTAACAAAAGCTTATATAGCGATTGTAAAAGCCTAGTTAGAATGAATCAGGGAACATGTAACCATTCAAAGAAACATCTTGTTTATCACCTACATTGACAATATAAGCAAGGATGTCAGGCCCAGGAAAGAAAATAATAGTAACATCCACGAATTACTTTTTGCGGATGACCAGACCTTGATTGCAGATACATAATAAGGAATGTAAATCAAATAATATGAGAATCAACTTAATACAAAAGCAATGTCAACAGAAAGAAAGAAGCAGGATTCAAACATAGCATTAGAGCATACATATATTAAAGAAGCATTTGAGTTTAAATATCTTAAAAAACATTAAGTGAAGATTGTAAATTGGACGAAGAAATTGCCATCGATGTCCCAATCAGCACAAAAAGACATCTCATCCAGAAGCGTATTCATTCCTACCCTCTGTTAGCAGTGCCAGACGTGGTCACTCTCAACAAAACAAAAAAGAAAATTAGTAACCCCAAACCCTAACCCTAACGCTAATTTACCCGCCCCTCCCCCCCTCCCCCCAAATGAATGTTGACTGTGTCATGGTGCTAAAAAATTTATACAGATGTGGGTGTTGCACAATATTTAATAAGCACATGACGTGGAAAAGATCCCTAACGAGTCTGGTCAAAGATACGACAGGCGCCACTGATCGCCGGAAATTACCGGGTACTTTTTGTGGAAACAAGCAATCTAATAAACTAGCCATTTCTCCACCCTTTTTTTTTCAATCCATGACCCTCCATTTTAAAAAGATAAAGTGACCCTCGACCATGTTAGTTAAAATTACATAAACAATAGATTAAGTGCAGGATGCAATGACTTGTTTTCTGTTTTCTCTCTTTAAAATGTTCAAAACTCATCACTGTCCTGCGAACCCACAAATTATTCTTGACGTCCCCACAGAACATTCTTTGGGTCCCCATTTAAAATTGTTTGCGACTTCACATAGCAGGAAACGGGTATATTGAGCAAGCGACGGTTAAGAGTAGTGTCTAACAGTTATAATGCGTTTTTAAAAGAAGATTTGAACTGTGGACACTCAACTTGTTGTCCCACCCCCCCCCCCCCCAAAAAAAAAAACCCATTCCAACCGTAGGTCCCGTGGTGGCAGGGGTTGTAGGCCACAAGATGCCGCGCTACTGTCTGTTTGGAGACACTGTCAATGTGGCGTCCAGAATGGAGTCTACGAGCTTACGTAAGTGTCGGCCAAATCTATCTTACTCCGGTTGTGTGAGCCGCTAATTGATGTCAAAACTCCGTATTATGTATTACTCTCACTGTTGTCGAAGTCCCTCTATCTATCTATCTATC